AGCACCGGGCACGGACGGGCAGCGGCGGCGGCCGCGCCCGGCACACGGCGGCGGAACGGAGCCGAGCCGAGCCGAGCCGAGCGGGCAGAGCCGAGGTGAGCGGCCGGGGGGGTGCGGGCTGCGGGGCCGGGCAGCCCCAGGTGCTGCGCGGCGCCTGCGGGGAGAGGGGCGGACAGGGCTGCAGCCCCGGCGCCGGGAAAGCTGCCCCGAGCCGGGCCTTCCCTCGGCGGCAGCGGCGCATCCCGCTCCGCGTCCTGCCGGGATGCTGCGGGCGGGGCCCGACCGCGTCCCGCGGGGTCCGGCGGGCGCTCCCAGCGCCGGGCAGCGCAGCGCGGGCAGGCGGCAGCGCCAGCCGCGTCCCGCGGGCGGGACCGGGCGACCCCCGGCATCCGTAGCCCCGGGGATCCGTAGCCTCGAGCTGCGGCAGCGCATTGAACTGCCGGGCTGTGATTTGAGGGAGACGATTTACATTAGAGGGAGAATGTGGAGAGAGCCAGGAACAACTTGGAATGGGTCCTCGCATATTTCTGTGGTTATTTTTGGAGTACCGTCATATGGCAGGAGGTGGGCTCTGGAGGTATCCTTGAGCTCAGCATTTTCTCCATAGGCTGGTTACCCGGGAGATTGTACTAGAGGACCTGCGTGGCCCTTTCCCCATCAGTGGTTTCTGTATTTCCTATCGCTGTTTCTCTGTATTGTTCCCTCCGGTGTGCCCGGCCCTCAGCCTGTCTCTGTGGGGACCCTCCTGTGGGCAAACAATGGTCTGGGTGTGCGGCTGAGCAGTGTCGGTGTGCTGCAGGCGATGGCAAAGCTGTGCTTCATTCAGCTGTGGATGGTGTGAGGTGACTCCTGATCAGCCCCTTCTCCATTGCTGTGGATGAGGTGTGGCTTCTCCAGCATCCCCAGCGAGACCAGCCCGTGCCTCCGTCTCCTTCCCGCTCTTAGCTGGCGCTTTCCCTCCAGCTTTCTCCTGCTACACTTGCCCACAGGGATTTTTGCTCCAGAAGAACTCGGGGTGTGGGGAAGCATGTTGTTACTCTGCTCTGCTCTTTGTGGGTCTCCACATGCACGGGAGGACTCTGGCTGTGCCAGGCCCCTTGCACCACGGCTGGAGAGCGGCTCTGGTGGCCTTCAGCCACGTGTCCTTGTTGCCATCGGGCGAGTTTGGAACTGAGGGAAGGCTGCCTGGCTTTGGGTGATGGTCCTTGCAGGAAGGGAATTAATTACTTTTTAATGATGTTAGTTCAGAGTCCAGCTCGGCAGGTACAGTGCCCATCTGTGGGGCTCCCCGGGGTGCTTGGAGCCGTGCTCTCCATGAGGACCTGTCTGCTGCCTGCAGGGATGCAGGGCATGTTCCGGGAGCTGTGGCAGGTCCAGAGCTCCCCTCCTTACCCAGGGATGGCCTCTGTGATCAGAGTCAAGGACCAGCTGTCTCCTGTGGGCTGTGAGCCCCTCGGGGAGGGGAGAATTCCCATCTCCTCTCCTCTTCCCACCATCCCTATGCCATGGGGATTGCTCTCCTCCATGCAGCCATTCCCAGCAGAGCCCTGGGCAGGGCTGTGGGGTGCAGAGCCTGTGTTTGGCTACCTTTGGCAGGGGTCGGGTTCTACCCCTGCTGATTTGGCTGCTTGTAGATGTTGTGCCTAGGACTGCCTAGAATTTTTGATTTTTACCAATTTTTGAGATATGAGCATTCTCCAGAACTCTTGGGGGCGATGTTTTGGTCAGGAGGAAGCATCTAGAAATGGTTTCTGAAGTCCAGTAGGGGATTTCTGAGCTAAAGGTATGTGTGTTCCTGGTGTGCAGAAGAGGAAGGTTTTGGTGCCTTCCCTGTGCAGACACAGAGTGTGCTGGACCCCCTTCACTGGGCTGCTGCCATGGTTGCCACCACCACCACAACCTTCCCGGGTAAGTGTGTGATGTCTTTGTGGCCAGGAGGGGTGGCTGGCTTGGCTGAAGAAGTCACTGCATCATAGAATGGGGAAAGTCTTTTTCTTCCCCCAGGCAGCTGAGCTCTCTGTTAAACTCTGGGTGATGACCTTGGTCCTGGTGAGGAGCTGGATCCCTCGCTGGTTTCTGGAATTGCATTAAGGCTTTCTGCTGGCAGCACCGAGCCCTCGTCCCGCGGGGGTTCCAGCGTCACTCCGGGCATCCTGCCTGCCTTCCTCTCGCTCCAGCACTGCTGGGGACTTCTGCTTTCCTACAGGAGCCTTCCAGACACACACAGACCACTCAGGTGCCTGACTAACTCTGTCCCTAATGGAAGAAATCTTTCCCTTAACTAATTGGTGTTTCTAAATTAGGAAGCTGCTGAGAATGACCTGTCGGTTAAAGGGCAGGGGGTGGGCTCGGCTCTTCCCGGCCTTGCTCCGAGCTTCCTGCTCAGACGCACAGACATCACTGGAGTGTCCTTTGCCTTAATTCTCTTTAGCTGTGCACTTGGGCTATTTCCCTGCTGCCTTGGGCACGGAGCTCTGGTGCTGAGTGGCAGCTGGGACATGATGGGTAGCACGAGGAGATGGGCTCGGCTCGGCGCAGAGCGGCGTGGGCGGCTGCCAGGCCTGCCTGTAGTAGACTTTCATGCGGTGCCTGTCACTTGGAGGTCTGAGCCGAGCCTGAAGCTCCCTCTGCCAAATGAGAAACACAAAACAGTGGCAGTCCTTGGGTGCTGGGAGCTCCTGCACAGGGAAACTTGGGCATCCAGAAACACCTGATTGTTTTGGCACCTATAAATGTGCTGGGGCTGTGACAGCCATGGCTGCGGGCTCATTGTTCTCCTCAGAGAGAGTGGCTCTGAGTCAGCAGGTTTGGGTTTGTCACAGCCTGTGCAGGTCTGTGCTGCTGAGCAGTGGGGCTGGCCCTGACCCTGCTGCAGGAGGATGTGGGGTTTGGGCCTGGACTCAGAGGCACTGGGAGCTTGTGCTTTCTCTTGAGCCTGGAAGGAGTTGGGTCTGTGGGAGGTGCAGGACAGCCTCCCTCCAGCCTCCCTGGGGAACCCCTTCCAGCCCCTGCCCTGTGCCATTCAGGGCTGTAAAGCTGAGCATCACTGGTGCTGGCCAGGCTGCTCCTTCATCATGCTCTTGTGTGGACTACAGGAGGTGGAAAGTATGGTGGAGGAGACTGTCTGTGATGGGGACGGGTAGGCTTCCCCCGTGGCTGCAGATCCAGCCCTCCTCTCCTTCCAGCCCTTGAGGGGAAGCTTGTGGGTCATCCAGGACCTAAGTGTGTCTTCAGATGAAGAGAAGGAAGTCTGGGCAGCCACATTTTCCAGTGTGGAAGCAGTGGCTGCTTCCTGCAGCAGGTCTCCTGTCCACACAGCGTGTCCCTGGTGCAAAGCAGGGTGCTGGCCCAGGCCCCATGGATGTCCCTTGTCTTGGATGGAAGCTGCTCCCTCTGTCCTGCTTTGCTTCAAGGGGATGTGTGGAGCCATAGAATCATGGGTTTGGGTTGGAAAGGACCTTAAAGTTCATCTCAATCCAACCCTCCTACCATGGGCAGGGACTCCTTCTGCTGTCCCGGGTTGCTCCAAGCCCCATCCAACCTGGCCTTGGACATGTCCAGCCACAGCTTCTCTGGGCAGCCTGTGCCAGGGCCTCCCCAGCCTCACAGGGAAGGATTTCTCCCTAATATCCAATCCTAAGAAGAGCTGTTGGGCTGAAGTTTGGTATGACTGGGACAGGAGTCGAGGCTTGCTCTCCTTGCAGTGGGCAGGGAGTGATGGGACTGTGTGGAATGGGACAGACATCCCAGCACCCTGGATGGGTCATTTGATACAAATTCTTGTGTCTGCTTGTCGCAGTACACAGCTGAGGGGGCTCTGGATGCAGCCCAGAGTTGTCAGTGTCCCGACTGGTGTGTGCACACCCCTGAGCCCACTTATGCCCCCTCCCCAGGAATGGAAGCAGCAGCCAGAGCCTTAAAATCTGGATGATAAATCTCTGGAAGAGGATTTTCTGTCCATCTCCTGCTGATGGACTGTGTCTTGCCTTCTGCAGGCTCCCTGGGGCTCAGCAGTACCCGGGCTGGGATCCTCTCCAGCAGGAACTGCTCAGCAGCCCGGGCTGGGGGAGCACAGCGCCTGGGGATGCTGCCCTGACCCTATTGTGCTCAGAACACGAGACAAACGAGGCTGAAGCTGCAGATCTGTGCCTGCCAGCAGGTCAGCAGTTTCACTCGGGCACTTGGCCTCTTTGTGGCAGTGAAATGTGGCCGCAGGTCGGGATCTGCTCCATCCCCCTTTCAGTGCCCAGCCTGCTCCCCACCAGCTGTGACTGGACCCTGGGGCCACCTGGCTGGGTCGTGCTGTCCCCGAGCCCTCGCTGGGTGGGAGCAGGAGCAGGTGCTGCGCCAGTGTAAAGCGCATCCTGCATCTGAGGCGATGCTGAATGGGGATTCACAGCCCAGCCCTGCTGCCAGGTTCCTCCCACCGGCTCCTTCCTCCCTCTGCTCCTACTAACCCACTGCCGGGGCCCCTCGCTGCCTGGCAGCAGCAGAGATGTCTGCTGCTATCCTTCCCCGAGCATCTGATGGAGGAAAACACAGGGTGGAGTCAGCTCCCGCACAAAGGAAATGTTGAGGTATGGTTTCTGCCTTCGGTGCGTTTTTTAGGTGGCTGGGGAGAGATTAAACAGGATCTTAACACATTCACAGCCCCCTTCCCACCTCATTTTCCTGTGAATCTGTTGCTGTCATGGTATCTTTCGGATGATATTTTTAGCTTTGCCTTTTCCTTTTTTTCCCCCTCCTCTCCTCGTATCAGGCTGTAGAAGGGAAACACGTTTCTATGGGAGAACAGAACGAGCCATTTCACGAGACATTTTGTTATGGGCAGAAGGGCCGGGAAATCTGATTGTGCGTTTGAAATGACACATTCCCCTTTGTAATCAGCTCATCGGCCTGGCTGGGGCGAGTGCCAGCAGCGAGGCGTCCTGGCCGCCGGGGGCGGGGGATGGCCCGGCCCCTCGCATCCTCCCCCGGGCATCTCCGCCGGACCATCCCCGGTGGCCACACGTGAAGGGCTCGGGGGTCCTGCAGGTTTTTCTCTCACTGGTCCCGTGGGAAGCAGCTGGATGCTGTAATGAGGTGCACTCTGGGTCTGGGAGTGTCTGTGCTGGCAGAAGCACAGGGGTTCGGGGCACCTGACACAGCTTTGGGGTTCTGGTGATGCTGAGAGGGATGTGGCAAAGAGCTCCAGGTGGGAGAGGGCTGGTTGGACAGTGGGGCTGCTGCCCACTGTGGGAAGGTGTCATTTTTGACGAGGATACAGACTGATGTTACGTGGTGATTGTGAACTTTGGCAGGGGAAAATTACAGTTCTAATTCTCAGCAGTATTTCCCTTTAGCAGATTTACTCAAGTCCTGATAGATGAAGGTCTGTGAAGTGGCCAGAACAAAAGAAGCCTCCTGGAAGGGCTGATCTGGCTGGGGTCTGCACATCCCTTTGTGGGGCAGGTGCTGTTACCTCTGCAGATTCCCTGGGGCTGTTCTTCAGGGAACCAAGGAATGCTTCCTGCTGTTAGGGAATGGTGGCCATGGTAGCATAACATGTTTGGAAGTGTCCACGGCCAGCTTAGATGGGACTTGGAGCATCCTGGTCTAGTGCAAGGTATCCCTGCCCATGGCAGGGGATGGAACAAGATGGGGTTTGGAGTCCCTTTCAACCCAAACCATTCTGGGATTCTGTGGGATGAGTAAATCCCTGCTCATCACCTTGGTCTGGTGTATGACCTGTCTGACGTGGCGTGACCAAGGGAAGGGCCACAGGATGTAGAGAAGCTGCAGCTGCCCATGCTGTGTTTTGGGGACAGGGGCACTCTCAGCCCTCCCGGGCACCTCCATGCTGCTGACGGAGCTTTGGAGCTCAGTCCCACCCTGGGCAGACATGGGAAGGCCATGGTGGTGTGGTCCATGGACTGGTCCCTGGTGTGGTCCATGGTCCTTGGTGTGGCCCCTGGTGTGGTCCGTGGTCCCAGGTAGGGTCCATGGATGCCACTGTGTCTCCTGGGCCCCTCTCCAGCTGCACTCCCTGCCCTGTGTGTGCCCCTGCTCTGCTGGAATGGACACTACGAGTCCTTGTCCCTTGGTTGGACCCATCAGCAGGTTTGGCAGGTGCTGGTTTCAATCTGGGTGAGCCAGACCAGTGCAGGACTCCTTCCTAAGCCACGGCCACCAGTGCCTCCATCCGTGTGCCACCCTCTCCCCGTGCCTGTCCCCGCTCCTGTCCCCGGGCAGCGTCACACCGACCTGTCAGGACCGGGCTGGCTGGCTGGCTGCGCTGATGAGGTGACAATTTGGGTCACTGTGGGATGTTTGTGAGCCCCAGGCAGTGTCTGTGGCTGTCCACACCAGCCTGGTGCCCGGCAGGGCTGTGTGGCAGGAGCTCGGGGGCAGGCTGGCTTGGATTTCTGCTCTGGGGAGATGCTGCTCCTGGGCAGAAGCCAGCAGGGCTGGGGGAGGCCTCGCTCCCACTGCCAGGATTCCCAGAACTCTTCATTAACATGATCCTAATTGATGCGGTGTCTCACACCCCAAAATGGCCATGGCTCAGAGCCGGCACAGCAGCCGTGGTGGCCTCTTGCAGGGCAGGGATGGGCTGAGGGGATTGGCAGTGTCAGCACTGCCAGGCTGGGCAGGGATCTGTGCCCGCTGGGCAGGGGTGTACGGAGTGCACCCAGCACCAGCCCGTGGTGACATCCTGCCTGTGCTTCCCCAGGGTGACAGGCACAGGGCAGGGCCACGCAGGTGGCAACTACCACCCCCCCCTTGTCACCTTGTCTCTCATGCAGCTCACCTGCTCAAAGGTGGGTTTGTCTCCTTGGATGTGCTGAAGCTCACAGCTTTATTACATCAGGTTTTCTGGCTCAGAGCAGCCTTTGTGCCTCCAGGGAAAGCTGCTTGGGTCGGTGCTGCTCAGGGTGGGCTATGGGCTGCACACAGCTGATGTTTGCTTGTGGAGAGTGAAAGGATTTTGCTGAATCCATGGGAGAGGTGGGAGCTTTGCATAGGCCTGCTTTGCTTCTGCCTAGGGGGAGGCTGGGCCTTGCCTGTCCGAGGATGTTGAAAATTAACCCTTGGAGAAGTGGGAGCTGTTCCTGCTGTGCCAGACCTGCTTCCTGCATGACACTGCAGTGCTGCTGGGCAGATGCTTCTCCCTGGCTAGGTGCAGTTGTCATGTAAAAGAGGCTCTGAAAACGCTGTTGCAGGCTGGGCTGTCCCTGCTTGCTGCTGGTTCTCCTCCTGCCCTGCTGGAGCTGCCATGGCTGGGGAGCGGGGCTGCCTCAGGGTGCTGCACCGCTGCCCTGCAGCCAAAGCCCTGCCAGCCAGGTGCTGCCCTGGAGCCACGGCCATAGGTGACAAAGAGGTGGCACAGATGGCCTGAAAGGAGAGCCTGGGCCGTGCCCAGGGGATCAGGTGGCACTCAGGGGTGTGAGGGCTCTGCAGCTCTGCCGTAGTAAATATTTGCTGCTCTCCAGGAGGGAGTGAGGCTGGCTGCACATCAGGAGAGCAAAACGACGACGTCTGAAACAATCCACAGCTCGCATTTCCAGCAGGGAGATTTGTATGGAATCCAAACACAGTGCTGGAGCTGGGCAGGCACCCTCTGATGACAGCTGTAGCTGTCCTTCTGTGTGCTTGCCATCATCTCTGGGCAGGAATTTTCCCTTCTTTTTAACCAAATCTGATTTCTTCTTTGCAGGTTGTAAATCGTGCCTGAGCTGAGTGCTGAGAGCAGCCCCTGGAAGCAGCGTGAGTTTATCCTGAAAGCTTTTGTTCTCCTTTCCACATCCCACATGAGGTTGAGTGGGTTTTACAGCACAGAAAAGGTTGCTCAGCACGGAGGGGTGCTGCAGGGAGAGGCTTGTCTGCCAGGAACCCCTGGGAATCTGGCCTGCTCCCACCAAAACACTAAACTGCTGGGCTTGGGCTTGTTGTGGCTTTCTTTGTGTGGGGATTGCTTCCTGGTTTAGCTGGGACTTGGGCAGCAGCCCCTTTGCCCACAGAAAGGCTCCTCCAGGCTGCCCAAGTCCCTGTCCGCTGCCGGAGGGGTTTGGGGTCTCACTGTTGGGTTTCTGTGGTCTCTTTTGTGAGGAGGATCTGAGGAAGGCAGTGTGTTTGCAAACCAGCTGTGAGGTTTTTCTGGCTGTGGATCCCTGCCCAGGGCTCAGGTCCCTGGGCTCACAGGGCTGGGCCTCAGGTGCAGCCTGGGAAAGCTGGGAGCACAGCAGGGGAGAGGGCTGAGCTGCAGAATTCAACTGCTGTGATGCTTGGAAGAGTGGAAGGCCTGTGGTGCAGCCTCTTCAGGGACACCAGAGTCCCTTCAGCTGTAGGACTGCTGCATTCCAGAGCCCCTCTGCCCAGCACAGTGACAGTCACGTGAAACCAGATGTGAGCAGCTTCCAGCAGCCATGAGGGCTGGGGGGGACAAGGTCCTGCTTCTGCTTTGGCTCTCTGACCTGCAGAGCAAGGTGAGCCTGGGCAGAGCTGCAGCACGACCCTCACCCTGGGCTGAGGTGGGAGGACAATGTCCTTATCTGAAAATTGGATGAGGAGCCCTACAGCAGCACCCTGCTGTCCTGGCTCTGTCCCAGGTGACAGAAGTGTGTCCCAGGTGACAGAAGTGTGTTGGCGGTGTGCACCGCAGGGCTCAGACCCTGCTGCCCACAGGGCTTGGCTCCTGCCCACACACGACACTGGGTGCAGGTTCTTTATCCAAGGTTCCACATCCAGAGCGTGCTGGGCACTGCCCAGGCTCCCTAGGGAATGGTCAGAGCCCCAAGGCTGCCAGAGCTCAGGAGCATTTGAAAAATACTCCCAGGCACAGGGTGGGATTGTTGGAGTGTCTGTGCAGAGCTGGGGGTTGGACTGGATGGTCCTTGTGGGTCCCTTCCAGCTCAGGATATTCCATGGTCTGTGGGTGTGGGCAGGGGATCTGGGTCCCTGCTGAGGACTGGCTCTGATGGGCTCCTCGGGGCTGGAGCTGGCTCTGGCTCATAGCAGGGCAGGTCTCTTTGTTTTATGAGCAGTTTCTCACCCGCTCTCCTCCTCCAGGCACTTTGTGAGATGCCAACTCCACCCGTGCCCAGGGGTGCAGGTCTGCAGGGAGAGCCAGGAGAGTGGCAGGGATCCTTGTCCTTTGTGTTGGGATTGCTTCCTCATGCCTTTGTGTGCTCAGGGATTTGGGAGTGGGGTGAGCAGTCTGGAGTTGGTCGAGGCAGAGCTGCACGCCCAGCATCGGTGGTGGATTTCATGTTGCTTTCATGTGGATTTCATGTGCTCCTGCATGGCCTCAGTGTCCCCCGAGGGTGGGGACAGGTGCCCTGGGCTCTGTGCCCACTGGGTACCCATGGGGAGTATTCTCCTGGGCAATGCCACCAGGAAGCTCTGCCCCTGGATGGGTGCAAATCCCTGATGGGGTCGCCCATGCTGGGGTGGCATGAGGAGCAGGAAGGAGGACTTGTGCCATCCCCATGGTGACCCTGGTACCAGCCAGCCCCTTGCCCTTGCTGGTGGCTTTGGTGGCCGAGGTGCAGCTGGGGACCCTGGCCCAGGTCTGGGTGTCTTTGGTTTCACAGTTGCCCCTGGTATCTCATGGCTGCTGGGGCTTGGGGTGCTGCAGCTCTGTGCCCGGGGAGGTGTCCCCTGCTTTAGGAGGGCTGGTGACACTTCGGTCATGGCACAGCGGTGGTGCTGGCAATGAGCTTCTCCTGTCTCTGGGTTCCAGCAGCTCCCTCACAGCTGGGGCTGGATCCCACCTCTGGGGCAGGATTCCTGGCTGCTGGGTTTGGCTGGGGACTGATCCTGTGGGAGCTTGCTCAAAGGACATGGTCATCCACCAGCTGGCCTGATGGTCACTGTAGGTCCTTCCAACTGAGCTGCCCCATCCTCCTCAATGGTGCACAACATGTCACCATTACCTTGGGGAAAATGACACTTTGTCACCACTTTAGACCCTGACAGGGCCTTGTGGGGTGCAGAGCAGAGGATGATGATGATGGGGAGAGTGCTTGGCCCTTCCTTTGGATGGGAGAAGATAGGGGAAGGCAGGGTTGAGTCTGTCCAGGACTGGGCTCCTTTTGGTGCCTTCCCTTGCTCTGGGTGCAGTTCTCCTCCTCAAGCTCCTCTCCTCCTCCAGCCCACTGCTTCCCAGGGTGTCTGGCCCTGTGTTCTTCTTGCCCAGGGAGTAGCTGATCTGCCCTGGCTGCCACATCCCAGCGCAAGGCAGCTGAACCCATGGTCTATGCCTTTCTCTGCAGGCAGGGAGAAGGATGGGAGCAGCTCTGTACCAGTCCCTGGCAGGGTGAGGGGTGTTCCACAAGGGCTGCAGCAGCCCTGCCTGCTCGTGGAGTGCAGCCCAGGTACCTTGCTGGTGCTCCATAGTGGGCAGTGGTGTCTGATCTGGGTTCCCAGGGCTGGCTCTGCCATCACAGCCTTTGGCTCAGCCTCCCTGCCAGATGCACCAGAACATTCCAGGGCTGTGCTCTGGTGCCATCCCTGGGTGAGGCGTGGAGGAGAAGGGCAGGGATGGCTGCAGGCTGGTGGTCCTGCTCCCTGCCCGGTCTGACTTGGCTGTGGCACCTTTTGAGCAGTCACTCCCCATCTCAAAAAACAGGGGATCAGCAGGGCAGGGCCAGCTCTGGGTAGGGCAGGGCCAGCTCCCGGCACTGCTCCCAGGCAGAGCTCCAGGGCTCTGGGGATGTGTCACTGGGAGTTCAGTCCCACAGCTCTGCTCACAGGCAGTTTTTAATGCCTGCAGAGCTCAGGTAAGCAGGGAGCAGCTGCTGAGGTGCCCCCTCAGGAGGAACTGGCAAAGGGCATTGTACAGATCCCCTTTGGCCTGAGAAGAGCTATCAGGCTGTTTCATGGAGCAGCTGGGGGGATGAGGCTGCTCTGTGCTCCCTGCCTTCCACCCCTTGCTGCAGCAGGACCCTGGCAGGGCTGGCAGCCCTGGCACAGCCAGTGGGAGCTGGCAGTGCTGCCTGCAGGTACCAGGGCAGTGCCCTGCCTGGCCCTGCCCTGCCCAAGGGCTGCTGCTGCACTTTCCTCTTGATTTGGGGCCCATCCTGGCTGCAAGACATGCCTTGGTCAGCGAGCCGTGCTGTGTGCCATCCCAGCTGCTGGGGCTGAGCAAACAGGTTTGTGGTATGTGGCAATGTGGGCCCTGGAGGCTGGGGGAGCTGCCAGCTCCCTCAAACTCTTGGGAAAGGCTGGCTGCTGGCCAAACCCCTGCTTGCCTTGGCCGAGCTTTAACCTCTTGTGCATCGCAGCACTCAGGAGCTGGGCTTCCCCCGAGCTGGGTCATGGCGGGGCAGCCTGGGTGCCCACCCACCTCTGACCCCTGTGCTCAGCTGTTGGAGCCTCCTTGGCGCAGAGCCACGCTGGGATGCTGCCCCTCCTGTGGCCTGCAGGGCTGTGTGCTCGGGCAGCAGGAGCCAGGGCTCTCCTGAGAAGATGCAGCTTTGCTGCTCCGATGGCCCCGTGCTCACCCAAGCCCTCACAGGTGATGGAGAGCTCTGGTCCCACCCTCCCCACTCCTCCTGGGCTGGGCTGGGCTTGGCTGGGCTCAGCTGGGCTGGGCTCCTGCCATGCTGCACTGGGGATCCCTGTGGGGCTGGGTGGAGGGGAAGAGCTGTCTGCTCTCACATCCCTGCAGAGGAGGATTTGCCACCCGGGACTGGTGTTTCGACAGTTTTTCTGGCACAGCAGGGCCCAAGGGATGTGGAGCTGTGGGCAGCATCTGAGCAGGCCCAGTGTGGGCTGAGGATCTGCAGGACTTGCTCCCAGGGGAACAACAGAGGCTGGGCTATGTTTAGGAGAGCACCTGCCCCGCTGCAGGTGTGCTCCGGGGCATCATCTTCCAACAGCACCTCTCTGGCTTCTTCCACCCATTTCCCACAGCCCTTGCTGTTTTTCCTTTATTATGGGACCCCTTGTGCAGCAGGCAGGACGCTTGGTGGGGCATTGCAGGGGGCTCTGCACTGTGGAGAAGCTGTCAGAGCCTCAGGCCACTGCGCTTGCTGGATGGAGTGGGAGATTGGGGCTCATGGCCACTGGTGTCACCTGTCCAGCTCCCATGTACATGCTGTCATTGAAGGCAGCCAGTGCTGGGACAGTGCTGTCACTCCACCTGCTCCAGCCCCACTTTCCTCCAGCCCAAATCCCAGGATGGCAGCACAGCCCCTGGTGTGGGGGCAGGTGTGCTGGGCAGGAGCGCTGCACCTCCCGTCCCTCGCTGCAAACTGGTGCTTCGTGATGGGGTTTGGATGGACATGCTGGGGCTGGATGAATTCGGGAGGGTGAGGGAGGGAGAGAGCTGCCCTAATCCTGCTCTGAATTCAGCTTGGCTTTTGTGCGTAAGGCTGCTCAGCTGCAAGTGAGGAGGTACCCGGGTTGCCGGGGAGACAGAGCCGTGGGATGTGGCGGATGCTGCGGCCGCGGGGAGATTGTCACCCTTGTGCTGCCACCAGGAGCAGCCCCAGTGACAGTCCCTGACTGGGTTGTGTCACCCTTGTGCTGCCACCAGGAGCAGCCCCAGTGACAGAGCCTGAGGCTGCTGCAGGGGACACGCTGCTGAGCCATGTGGGGCCCTGGTGCTCTGAGCACCCTCCTCGGTGGTTCCTGGTGGCTGTGGCTGCCCTGGGTGCTACCCTGAGGTCAGGGCAGGCTGGGAGGTCAGGGGGCTGTGGGTGTTCCTGGCATGGAGCCGGGCCCAGAGGCATCTCCAGGTGTGTCCCCTATGCCAGCCCAAG